GTGGAGAGGGTGGGTAGTTTTAAATTTCTGGGCACTTATATTTCGGAGGACCTCTCATGGACTATGAATGCTAACATGCTTGTGAAGAAGGCACAGAAGAGGCTGTACTTCCTGAGAATGCTCAGGAAGATAAATTTATCTCAGCGTCTACTCCTGTCCTACTATCACAGCACCATTGAGAGTGTCCTGACATACGGCATTCTTGCATGGTATGGGAGCAGCTCTGTAGCGGACAAAAAAGCTCTACAGAGAATTATTAAAACTGCCCAGAATATTATTGGACTCCAACTACCAGCCCTGGATAAAATCTTTGAATCTCGTTGTTTGAGGAAGTTGCATAACATTCTCAGAGACTCTTCCCAACCTGCTTACAATCTTTTTGGACTGTTGCCTTCTGGCAGAAGATACAGAATAATTAAAACTCGGACCACACGTTTTCTGAATAGTTTTTATCCCAGAGCTGTACTTGCACTCAACAACGAACTAAGGGGCCACCATCAGTGAACTGTTGGACAGCATTACTTGGTCTGTTGTGTGGATGTTGGGTGGTTTTAGGGGGGGGGATTGTGGGGGGGGAGTGTGTTTGGGGATTATGTGTGTGGGACTTGGTTTTTGGGTGTCAAGTAAATTTTGTTGTATAGGTATACTATGTACGCACATACAATGACAATAAATATATATATATATACACCCACCCCCCAAAAAAACAACTGCAGGAAAAATGTATTTGGAAATGTGTTGCCAGAGATAATACATTGGAAAACATGTATTTTATCTGTAAAGTTTTGCACAACATTATGTACATGCTGCTATACATTGCTTTATGCTGCTTTTCTTAAATTACAGATTGGTGCAAAATAAATTGGGAAAAATATGTATGAACCTGGACACAAAGCACCAGCAGCTATCGTCTAAGTATACACATTGTTCTATAATAGTTTAATGGCAGAACATTTGCTTTACATGAAGAAGCAACGTTCAAAAATATTATGCAGCCCATAATAAGAAGATCTCACTGGAGAACTCAAAGACCCATGAGCTGAATCAATGTAAATAATATTGGATTTTGTTTCTTTCTTAGACTGATTGATGTAGTTACCCATCTCATTTTCACCTGACTCTAGGCAGTTTTCAATAAAACAAAAGAAAACAAAACATGCAATTGATAAAACCAAAATAAAAGCAGACAGCAGCTGGATTGTCCAAACTAATGTTTGGATTTTATCGCTTGTGTGATTTTTTTTCTCCTCTTCACATCTTTATCTTATTATTATTTTGTGTCAAGCATTCCACTGACTGAAGATAGCTGCATCTCCCTAAATAAAACAGCACCTGGGGAAAACAGACACATAGAGACGTGCACACACATGCCATTAAATGAAAAACACTCGAACCTCCTTCACTCAGCAAAGCCACCTTGCCTATGGCACCTCAAGACAACATTTCCCACTGATGCAGAAAGACCCAGAGATGGCAGTGTTCAGTTTCTACTCTTCCAGACCACCCCTAGTCATAGATCCTATCAAAGCCACTCTACTGAGTTCGGAAATGTATTCCAGCATTGAAGACTCTGCAGTGTAAACAAGACAGCTTTTGGACCATCATGCAAGTAAATTATCCAGCAGGGTTGTAATGCATACAGTTTTCCATTTGTATTCAGACTGCAGGGTATCTAGGAAAAAGCAGGAGGAGTTTTGGAGCATGAAGAATCTATTTTAGGAAGAGACATATTTAAGGATAGTGGGATAAAGGGTGACCCCCATCAGTTCAAGCAAAACACACAGCTTCGAATGCTGAAACCTCTGCCTGACAGTGCAGTGTGAAATCCAGAGTCTCAATTCTGTGAGATTGCTAGTGGATTTGGTGGGTCCTGAGAAGCTGGGGAGCTAACTTGGCTTGACAAGAGAGATGAAAGAATTTCACTACAGTTTTCAGAGGCAGCAGATTTGAAAGAGTTGCCAAAAAGGACCATAGCCGTATCACAGAGATTGATGTTAAACGCAACACATGAGTATGCATCTTTCGCTGAACAATACGGGACATTTTTTTAAAAAAAATAGGTGTTTCTGAAAGTATTACCTGGAATAAAAATATGCATTTTTACCATTGCTTAGGAAAAGTGGAATTGAGAAAAAAAATGCTATACTGAGAATATATTCAGCTATCCAATATATTAGGCTTTTTTCACCATTATATGGTTCCAGATTATTGCACCCTCCCAAAATAGATTACAGGCGTGAATTCAAAGAAACCCAAGACATTTTACATAGCTGATAGCCCGAGACCTTACTCGAGAAGCAATTTTGAATCCTAAGCTTCCTTTGGAGCAATCAAAAGAGGACTGGCTTGCTGGTAAACTACTCTTTCTCTAGATAGATGTTGTTGATGTGACATTATCTTTTGGGCAATGAAGTGGATCTTCTGCATGCTCTGTTACAGAATTACAGAATAACAGAGTTGGAAGGGACCTTGGAGATCTTATAGACCAATCCACTGCTAAAGCAGGAGACCCCATACCATTCCAGACAAATGGATGTCCAATCTCTTCTTGAAAACCTCCAGTGATGGAGTACCCACAATTGCTGGAGGCAACTCGTTCCATTGATTAATTGTTCTCATTATCAGGAAATTTCTTCTTTATTTAGATTGGATTTCTCTTTAATAAGTTTCCATCCATTACTTCTTATTTTATCCTCAGGTGCTTTGAAGAACAGGTTATCCCCCTCTTCTTTGTGGCAGCCCCTCAAATATTGGAAGACTGTTATCATGTCACCCTAGTCCTTTTCTTCATTAAATTAACATACCCAGTTCCAGCAACCATTTTCATAAGTTTTAGCCCCCAGCCCCGTAATTCTCTTTGTTGCTCTTCTCTGCACTTTGTATTGTGGTGACCAAAACTGGATATAGTGTTCCGAGTGTGATCTTACCAGTGCAGTACTTCATATGATCCTGATACTAGATGTATCAACATGAAACATACATAAATATTTGTGTGATGTTAACCTAGATGTAGAACTTTCCAATTTTTTTCACCTTGAAACCTGTGCTAGGCCCTTAACCTGCCTCATAATAAATTACTATTTATGGAGCTCTCACAAACTTTCAGTGTTGCTGTTTAAGAGAAACCCTTCAAGAAAGTTCACTACTCATTGCAGTCTTCTGCACAGTTTTAAGTCTGTCCCCCATCCATCCCTTGCTTCCTTATTTCTAGAGAAGGGTCTTCTATGCACTGGTGTCACTGTGAAAATTCCTTCCGACAGGGATAAAATTGAACAGGGAAAAATAACAAGCTAGAAGAGATAATGAATCTCTCCCATCTCTCAACCTACTCTTTCACATCTCAATGCTGAAATGCATTGTTTAACTGCAATCAGATAAGTGTAAATGGCATCCAAGAGAGGAAGAGCTATCTGAATCTATTTTAGTTATTTGGAAAGATATTAAGAGCAGTAGTAATGAGGAAGAGGCTTTGTGTGTTGATGGACATCTGAAAGGACTATTATTTGGTGGGTGAAATTTCAGTGGGATCAAGATTGGAGCATAAACAGTTAACATTTAACAACAGTCAGGACTCACAGTGAAACGGCTAAAGATATCAATCCTGAGAAAGATGAAAACTTATAGGAGCCAATGTATACCACATTGGTAGCTCCCATTTTTTTGCATACAATATAACATGCTCATAATATATTTCTAACCATGGCAACGTTTAAGGCATGTGGACTTCAACTCCCAGAATTCCCCAGTAGTCATGTTGGTTGGGGAATTCTGGGAGTTGAAGTCCACATGTCTTAAACATTGCCACACTGGGAAACCCTTGTATAGATTATACAGTGTGAAAATATTGTTTTTCAGTACAATCCTCACTAGAATGCCAAGTATCAGATGGAAGCCATATGGTGAAGCACCAGTATTGCAAGAACACATAAAAAAAACTATATTCTGATGACAAATTTCTTCTCAGTTTTTAAAAATGCTTTACCTTTAACTTGAAGAGGAAAAAAAGAGACTGTTTTGTATTCTTTCCTTCACCCCACACCTCACCCCATAAGGGGAGAATATATTGTAATTCTCATGGGTGGATTTGTATGTATTTGGGATGAGATGTCCAAGGATGGGTCTTAATGCTGTATTTTCACAGCACAAGTGTCTTTGCTGTGCTCTGTAACCAGCCTGGATCTCATGTTTCATACATTCTAAGGGAACACTTCCCATGGATTCTTTTTTCAGATTAGAAGTGAGAGCAGCCATGGAGGGTGTTGAGTGTAATTAGGAGAGTGAGAATACAAATGCTTTTGTGGGAAGTCAGAGCCCTCCCCCCAGAGAAGGAAATATTAAAAGGGGCAGAAAAATATATTTTTCCTCAAAGGGATTTTTTTAAAAGCAGAAACCAAATCTCTCTGGCCTCAAATCTCTGCCCCAAACAAGAGCCAGCCCTATACAAATGCACATGTAAAACCATCAGGAAGGTTGGAGCCAGGGAACTCAAGAAGACAAAGAAACTCTTAAGAGTCATTAGCCCAGCCCCAGGGAAGCAGGAGATGACTTTTGGGACATAATAGGACTAAACCACAGATACTAAGGCCTAGAAAAGCACTCAGACTCAGTTCAAAGTTCATGCCACAGGAAGAGGAAACTATTCCAAACAAAAAGCTAGAGAGGGTATAAAAAGCTACTGCCCATGTGCTCAGCCCCTTCTCTCTCCTCTGTTCTTTCCTGAAGAACCATCTTTCTGCTTCTTCAATAAACTGTAACCATCTTCCCAAAGCAGTCGCCAGGTTGCTTATTTATTCCCAGCTTGGATGAACCAGGATGAAGACTTATTTCTAACACTTTCCTCTGAAAACTTAATCTAGAAATCCTATCTCCTACCTTTGAAGCCATTCCTGATCATCATAAGGGATATTTTTAGTACTGAGCAATTACACTCAAACACTCTTGATTCTGAACGAGACCGACATGCTGCAGAAAATCAATGCATTTTTCTTCTCCCAACCTACCTGAGATGTTGGTGGTGATCTCGGTCAGAGCAGTTTGACCAAAGCCCTTGCCAGTTTGTGCTCTTACTGAAAAAAGGTAGGTTGTCCCAGGATGAAGGTTGGAGAAAACATGATAAGTTTCATTTCGGAGCTTGGAGACGGTGCGTCGTGGGCCAGGCACATTGACTGCTGGGTCAAAGGATTCAATGCTCTGGTAGCTGATCTAGGATAAAGGGATATACTTTAAGACATCATCAGAATGTAGGGATTGGGATGTATTTATCTGCTTGTTGAATTTATATAGCCTCCCCCTTACATAAACTGTATGTTTCAGACATTGCTTCAACCATGACCAGATACTGCAATACAGTATGAATAATCTTTGCACACAGAAAACAAGCAAGACCGGGGCAAAGTTAACCTAGCATTCTTCTTCCTAATGATGATTTTTCTAGTGGGCAGGTTATTATTTGATAGAGGGGAATATTCCATCAAAGGCAGAATCTGCATAGGACCCAAAGTGGCTCTCAGCCAAGCTGACTGATCATCAAAGCAAGAACTGGAAATAACTTTAGGATACAGCCAGGAAAACAGCTTGCATTCTGCCATCGAGACAATAGGCTTGGAAGGAACTATAAAATTGTCCTTAATCTTCAAGACTATTAAAGAAAGGGGGGGGGGAAGGCTTCCAGAATTACAATAGAGCCTATGTCAGTTCTTCGATAGGCAGCCTTCAGCCTGGCAAGGAAGAGCTGTGCAGATAAGCATCAAGCTTTCTCAGTCGGCAGTTTCCACGCTCCAATAATTTTTGTTGATGCCAGAGAGGGCAAAGGCATGGAATAAAAAGCCAAATGAGGGAAGGGAGGTTTTGCCTGGCTGCATTTTGGAAAAGCCAAAACACACGCAGAGATATGCCTATTCGAAAACTATCCCACGACAATAATGAAGCAAAGAAAACACTCCCCGTTTGGCACCTGGCTGAGAATACAGAAAAGCCAATCAATTATTGCTGCACTTGTCTGACAGACAAAGCCCAGCCCAATCATTGTGCAAGTCCTTGAAACTGAAAGTCAGTTTCTGCCCACCCTCCCAGGTCCCTACCTGGCATTACAGCTTAAGGGATCCTTTTTATGAGAAGGAACGGCAGAATCTGGGGCTGGTGTAAAAAAGGGAGATCAGCCTAAAATTCCTACGTGCCCACAAGAGAACTAAATCTAATCCCCCTTGAGTACCATTGACCCTTATCAAAAGATTCCTGTCCGTAGGGTTTTATAAATCAGTTTAATTGAATCTTCATGTGTAGACATGGTCTTCCGCACCTGACATTTCTGAAGCTCAACATTCAGGAAACATTCATCATAAATGGCTACATCCATCAAAGACTAACCAGCCAGACATCCTTCAGGTACATGGGAACTACAACTCCCAGAATTCCAAAGGAGTGTGGCAATTAGATGGGAAATATGGAAGTCCAGGTCTTTTTCAAGTTCTTCAATGAGTATAATTTGGCATGGTAATCCTCTATTGATGCCATTACTTGGGTATGTTGAATATTGATGATGCTTGCATAAGAGGTTTGATTGTGTTATATTTGTTGTTGTTGTTTTAACAGGCTGAAATGAGCAATGATAGCTGGTGAAAACAAAACTGATGAAGCATTGCTTCTGATCACAAATTGGTTCACAATTCTTCAGAAAGACCACTTGATAAAAGAACAAAAGAAAGAGGACTGCAATATTTCATTTGTCTACCCATTAACACAATATAAAATATTTAACTAAATTGGTGCCCCAATATGTAGACAATTTTATCAATGTAAATTCAATTCAAGCTTGACTTCTGATGCTTGGCCACAATACAAAAGTGCTTTGGCATTAACTTCCTTGGAATTTTCTGTTGATTTGGCTATCCAGGTAGTAACCATATCCAACATTACTTAAGTCTATATTTTACTAACCTGGAATGTAAGATACATATTTGCACCCAAGTTAGTAGCATCCTATTAAAACTGGCATTCTCTCTTACCTTTCATTTAGAATGGAGTGTCTCTCCAGAGATCATCATTGTTATAGCATATGCATGTGACATCTCTAAGCAAGAATTCACTTATAGTTCAAGGCTATTGTTCATCTTCATAGAAAATGTCAATTAATACATTAACAGGACCTTTTTTCTGACTTTGGCAGAAGGATAAGCGAGATAAGGGGAAAACAGGCACAATATCGACTTCCCCGAAATGATCTTATGGCATACCTCATATTGTGTTATGAGACCATTTGGTTCCACGGGCTCCTCCCATTTCAGAAAAATCATGTCCTCCAGGGGGGTAAATGTGAGGGACTCTGAAGCTATGCCTCCAGGGACTTAAATGAGTAGATGGAAGCAAGAGAAAGAGAGGGGGGGGAGAGAATCAGAACACATTTCTTGCTCCTAAAATCAACAAGCAATGAAGGAACATCAAATTAGGAACATCACGAAAAGAACCTTAAGCCAATCCTGGGGATGTTTAGAATTGCCTCCTAGCTTACCTAAGTAATAATAATAATAATAATAATAATAATAATAATAATAATAATAATAATAATAATAATAATAATAATAATAATAATAATAAAGTTGGAAGGGACCTCGGAGGTCATCCAGTCCAACCCCCCCACCCAGGCAGGAAACCCTACACCATTCCAGACAAATGGCTGCCCAGCTTCCTCCTAAAAATCTCCAGTGTTGGCGCATTCACCGCTTCTGGAGGCAGGTTGTTCCACTGGTCAATTGTTCTGTCAGGAAGTTTCTCCTTAGTTCTAGGTTGCTTCTCTCTTTGGTTAGTTTCCACCCGTTGCTTCTTGTCCTGCCTTCAGGCGCTTTGGAGAATAGCCTGACTCCCTCTTCTTTGTGGCAGCCCCTAAGATATTGGAACACTGCTATCATGTCCCCCCTCATCCTTCTCTTCGTTAAACTAGACTTGTCTTGAATCCAAGCCTCCAAATCTATGCCTTTTTCATATTTTTCATGAACAGGCAGAAAATGAATTTTGGAAATGCATTTTCTGTGTTCAACTTTATTGATGTATGCATTATATCAGTTTATATAGCCACCCATCTCAAATATATGATTCTGAGCCACTCACAAGCCATTAAAAGCAATATAAAAACAGCAAAACAATACAAAAACTCCAATTTAAAAACAATAAAATTTCTTAAAAACATAAAAAAGTGTAGCCATGGAGAGTGGATTTTCAACTTCATTGTACAGAACTGAGCGTATAACATTTTTTTCACATTTAGATACTCTCATATCTTCAACCAGAGGTTTTGCAAGGTTTTGGACACAGAAAGATATGCATATCAATTTAACACTGATGACTGTTTAAATCACGTGCATTCAATTCTTCCATTCCATTGTTTTTAAATTCTTTAAAAAATAACTAAAATGTCACATACTTGTATATGACGCTTCCCATTAGAGGTATAGCTTTAATGCAAACTTTCACAATCGTCCAAAAGGTGCTTTTTCAAAGGGCAACTGGACATTCTTTGTTTTCCTTGAAGACATTTCGCTTCTCATCCAAGAAGCTTCTTCAGTTCAATTCTTCAGTCAGAACGGAGAAAGCTTCTTGGATGAGAAGCAAAACGTCTTCAAGGAAAACAAAGAATGTCCAATTGCCTTTTGAAAAAGCATCTTTGGAACAATCATGACCTGGATGACTTAGAATCTCCATAGACAAACTTTCCCAACGTTTACTGATGCTAATCTGATCTGTGTTTCTCTTTTTCTAATGCATGCACAATTGAGCCCAAATTTTACGTTGCTAAACAAGAGAGTTAAGTGAGTTTTGTCAAATTTTACCACCTTTCCTGCCACAGTTGTTAAGCAAATCACTGTATTTGTTAAGTTAATCACATGGTTATTAAGAGAATCTGGCTTCCCCATGGACTTTGCTGATCAGAGGGTCACAAAATATGATCACATGACCCCAGGACCCTGCAACCATCATAAATACATGCCAGTTTCCAAGCGTCCAAATTTTGATCACTTGACCATGGGGATGCTGCAATGGTCGTAAGTGCAAAAAAGAGTCCTAAGTCACTTTTTCAGTGCCACTATAACTTTAAATGGCCACTAAATGAATGGTTGTAAGTTGAGGATTATCTGTACATATTAGGGAGGGGTTGAGTTTCCACTGCTCTTAAAGAGGTAGAAATCCATCCTTTCCTTAAGAAACTATGCTGGATAATTTTCGCCATACTACCATTCCTTTTTCAAAGAGGATTGTTGAGGAAATGGTCACATTGCAGTGTGTCCTAATTCATACTGGGTCTTTGCGTTTTTATATTTATTTCAATATTTTTGCTTTGTGCTTTCTATCCTATGTTAGCCACCTAAAGTCACAATTTGTGAATTAGACAATCTTGCAAACCAGATCCATCCATCCATTTCCATGCAAAGCATAACACTGTTGTACACAACTTTCCTGAATTCACACATACAGTTAGTCCTCAACCTATGACCACAATTGAGCCCAGAATGTAGGTTGCTAAGCGAGACAGTTGTTAAATGGGTTTTGTCCCATTTTATGACTTTTCTTGCCACATTTATTGAATCACTACGATTGTTAAATTAGGGACATGGTTGTTAAGTGAATCTGGCTTCCCCATTGACTTTGTGTAAGGACCCACCTCACTTTACATCTTAAGAAGACAGAACTCTTGGAATATCTCTTCCAACAGGTATCTTTATTAAAAGAAAATGATTGCAGGCGTTCTAGACAGGATCTGGGGAATTCTCTCCCATCCTTCAATGTTTTAAAATGTTCCCAAGCAGCCCCACCCCACAGTTCTTCCAGGTGACAATCACTCATCCTCATCTTTTCCCAGATCCCAGGTGTTGCATTATTCCCCCCCCCCCCCTTTTCCCTCACTGCCGGCAAAAGGGAGACTTCAGAGAGATTAGATGAAAGGCGATGGCCATATTGTTATGGTCAGTCCTCTTGATGAGAATCAACATCCAGTCCTTTGTAGTTTAATGAAGGAAGTGAGAGCCATAAACCCCCCTTGCTTATCCTCCTCCCCTTTCGTAGTATGACAGAATCCAGAGAGAGTAAGACATGGGTTTTTTCCAGAGTAGGTAGCTAGAAATGAAATATAATTGGATTCTGACACTTTGCTTGTCAGAAGTTCACAAAAGGGGATCACATGACCCCAGGACACTGCAACCGTCATAAATATGAACCAGTTGTCAAGCATCCGAATGTTAATCATGTGACCATGGGGATGCTACAACGGTCATAAGTGTGAAAATTGGTCATGTCACATTTTCAGTGCTATTTTCACTTTGAACGGTCACTAAATGAACTCTTGTGAGTTGAAAACTACTTGTATTTTTAGTTTGCTTCTTTCCCAAGTATAATCTGTTTGTATATTACTTTGGAACTTAGCTATTATGGCAATGTGCTCAGGGCACTATAATTATTGCAATGGAATATCAGGCGGATTCTGCCATTTCAACCTGGCAGAACTGTATGGCGATTTTCTTTTCATATCATTAAATCAAATGGGGCCCAGACATTGCTGAGAGAGGAATAGGAAAATCTGCATCTTCCAAATAGATGGCTTATTCAACCCCCCATTTCTCTTACTGGACTTTTAAGATCTTCTAAGCAAAAGATCATTTTAAAACTATGCATGGATCATTTGTTTATTTAATACATGTTCGGAATGCCCCCTGAAGGTGATGTTCATATAAAAATAATAAGAGTAATCATACATCAGAATAAGAAAAACAAAACTGGAACTCAGCCAGGCGAGCAAAGCTATATGCTAAACATATAAAAGCAACATTAACCATTTACCATCTTCAGCGGCTATCAGAAGAAGAAGAAGAAGGAGGAGGAGGAGGAGGAGGAGGAGGAGGAGGAGGAGGAGGAGGAGGAGGAGAAGAAGAAGAAGAAGAAGAAGAAGAAGAAGAAGAAGAAGAAGAAGAAGAAGAAGAAGAAGAAGAAGAAGAAGAAGAAGAAGAAGAAGAAGAATTTTTAAAAGAAGAATTATTTTTTTGCCTCAGTTGTTTCTCCTAGGTATCACACATAATCTGGATGTAAAAGAAACGAACTTGATGTTGTATTGTTTAACTGCTGCCCGTTTGTTGATAGCTCAAAATTGGAAGAGTCAAGTTTTACCTACAATAGAGGACTGGAGAGTGAAGGTTTCGCATCTTGCTGAAATGGCAAA